TATATACATACATACACACACACACACACACACACACACACACACACACACACACACATATATATACATATGTATTTATATATATTTCCGTGTATCTCCGAGCACCCCATCTAGGTTCCAAGAAAGACAAAAATAATTCAATTCCGATATACAGCGTCAACTCCATAAAAAATAATGGCAGTATCCATCTCGTTCAAACTCACTAGAGATAAATTCCAAATTCCTATTTGTCAACTTGCACAGATTTTTATTTTTTCTCTTTAGTTTTTTCTGTAACTTTGATCAGCGAAGTGAAAGTCTGTGTGACATTCTGGAAAGCGTTCAAAGGTTGGATTATCCGATGACAAGAAACTATCACTCTTTTCTATCTTTTCCTATCTCCTCTCTCTCGCCCCCGTATTTAAAGCTGTCTATCTCGTGTTCCTTCTGTGTATTTAGTTCGTTTATCAATCTGCTTGTTTCTACGTATCTACCTTTTTTTTTTTTTTGCCTATCTATCTACCTGCTTATTTATCTATCTCTCTACATTGTTGTTGCCAGCATTATCATAATCAATGTTGTTATTACTTCTATCACCACAATTCTCTTTATTAACAGTATTTTTTCGCTTTCTGCTAACAAGACACACGCAAATGACTCCAAAGCTCATGTATTATACTTTGTCTGTCAAAAGAACTGGAATCGTACGCCACTGGATCCCTCATCTTATTTCTGTGGGAATTTTGAGTTTGCGTCTCTTAACAAGGCAGAAAAGACTTGACTCGGGGACTTGGTAGCACACAAAATCGGGTTTCAGTATTTAGAACATTCTAATACTTTTGAGCGAATTTCCTCGCCTTTCTGTAATACCCGCTTCTCCACAAAACAAGAAATATGGTCTAGAGTTTCTGTCTTGGCTTCACAGGGATCAGATAACATGAGCATGAGGCTTCTTGCTTCCAAGGATACGCGCTCATCACCTCATTTTCCGTCTGCGTTTCATGAGGAACAGATTATATAACTCTGAGGCATCTAACTTCCACGAGTGCACTGCCATCACACGAACTTGTGCTTTTGTTCCGCAACATGGCCTTGGGATCTCTTCTTTCCACGTTTGCCATGACTTAAATTTCTGTCTCTGTTTAACAAGGAACAAATAACGTGACCCTAGGGAGTCTTGGGCTTCCACAGATCCACAGTCATCCCTTAAATTTATCTTTGCTTAACCAACACATCCCGGGGACTTCTCTCCAAAAGCCCATCGTCATCAGCTGAATTTGTCTTTGCTTAACTCAAAAGGTCTATCGTCATCAGTTGATTTTTTCTTTGCTTAACTCAAAAGGTCCATCGTCATCAGTTGATTTTTTCTAACACAACTCTGCGTCTTCTCTCCACAGGTACATCGTGATCGTATACCCCATGAGATCGCGGACCTTCTGCACCCTCAGCAACTGCCGGCGAGCCATAATAGGCGTCTGGATCGTGTCCCTTGTGCTGTCTGTTCCCGCAGGCATGACCCAGGTACGTGTGTGAAAGGTGGGGGTTGTGTAGGGAGAGAAGGGAGAGGGGAAGAGAGAGAGAGAAGGGAGAGAAGGGAGAGAAGGGAG